GACGCATGCGGGCGCGGGCACTGGGGCCTTCGGTGGAGCTCCCTATGGAGCCACGAAACGTGTGAGGGGTGTGCCGAAATGGGTGTGGGTGACGCATGCGGGCGCGGGCACTGGGGCCTTCGGTGGAGCTCCCTATGGAGCCACGAAACGTGTGAGGGGTGTGCCGAAATGGGTGTGGGTGACGCATGCGGGCGCGGGCACTGGGGCCTTCGGTGGAGCTCCCTATGGAGCCACGAAACGTGTGAGGGGTGTGCCGAAATGGGTGTGGGTGACGCATGCGGGCGCGGGCACTGGGGCCTTCGGTGGAGCTCCCTATGGAGCCACGAAGCGTGTGAGGGGTGTGCCGAAATGGGTGTGGGTGACGCATGCGGGCGCGGGCACTGGGGCCTTCGGTGGAGCTCCCTATGGAGCCACGAAACGTGTGAGGGGTGTGCCGAAATGGGTGTGGGTGACGCATGCGGGCGCGGGCGCTGGGGCCTTCGGTGGAGCTCCCTATGGAGCCGCGAAACGTGTGAGGGGTGTGCCGAAATGGGCGTGGGTGACGCATGCGGGCGCGGGCACTGGGGCCTTCGGTGGAGCTCCTATGGAGCCACGAAACGTGTGAGGGGTGTGCCGAATTTGGGTGTGCGTGACGCATGCGGGCGCGGGCACTGGGGCCTTCGGCGGAGCTCCCTATGGGGCCACGAAACGTGTGAAGGGTGTCGAATTGGGTGTGCGTGACGCATGCGGGCGGCAGCACTGAGGCCTTCGGTGGAGCTCCTCATGGGGCCACGAAACGTGTGAGGGGTGTGCCGAATTGGGTGTGCGTGACGCATGCGGGCGGCAGCGCTGGGGCCTTCGGCGGAGCTCCCATGGGGCTACGAAGCGTGCGCTGGGTGGGTGAAACGCAGGGAAGCAGGGGGTAGGGATGAGGAGGGGGAGGAGGCAGCGGGAGGAAGGAGAACGCGGAGCACCGTCTCTTCAAAACGAGGGCCCAACACCACAGGATGGTTGGGAAAAACTGCTCCGAACCGAGGCCCTCCAGGACTCGCCCTTCAAAGCCAAGAACCTGGCCTGGTGGGGATCGGCCTGGCCCAGGATTCGCCGAATCAAATCCTCGGTCGCTGGGCCGCCAAAGACAGCAAGGCCTGGAAGAAAAACCTGCGCGTCAGAATGTCCAGCGCCTGCAAGGTGGAGCGCTGCTTCCCGACGTTGCTCATGAACGCCTGGGCCTCAAACGAGATGCGCGCCGCCCGCTCCAGGCGGCGCTGCTGGTCCTCGCCCTCCTCGCCCCGCTTCGGCGCGCACGTCGAGAGAGCCTGGTTGGCGCGCCTGATCTGCCGTGCCCAGCGCGCCGCCGCCGCCCACGCCGTGTGCCCCGCGTCGGCCTTCGGCAGCTTGGTACGCACCACCGTCTCCACCTGCTTCCAGACCGTCCCATGCGGTCCAGCACGGCCCTCGCGGCCCTTACGACTGGGCCCCATGATGTCGTGCCTATCCAGCAGCTCCTGCTCGATGCCGCACGCCATGCGGCCCCAGAAGGTGGCGAGCTCGTCGGCGGACGTAACTCGGCCCACCTCTTGGATGAAGCCCGCCCAGTCCCTGGGGCAGCGCCCGCAGCCAGGCTTCGCCAAGACTGGCACGGCACGCGGCTGCCTTGCCGCGCGCGCCCGCAAGGCCGCCTCAGGCCCCTGCATCTGCACGCAAACAAGCATGTGAGGTGTCAAGTTGGCGGTCATGCACGCATCGGGCTCCGACGTGCATATAGCCATGTCGGGGCTCAACACAAAATGATCAATCACCGAGCCAGGAATGCTCTGGGTGCGCGTTGGAGTCGTAGTGGCTACAACCACGCCGCCAGTAGAAGCCGCCCAGGCCTTTAGCAGCGCTGGCCGCGCGTTGAAATCCGCACAGCACCTTGTCATAACCAAGCGCCTGCACTCGATGAGTGTAGCTGGCAACTTCAGTTGACAAGCGTATATTGTTAGGTCCGAAAGCCCCATCCACCCACAAATACGCGGAGATCGCAATGAACCCGCCTTTCATCTTCGAGCGGATGTGTGCAGCAACGGCCCTAGCTGGCACGAGGGTCCCCGAAGACGACATCGGCGGGCAAGTGGCCTGCACGTTGGTGGGGCAAAAGACTGCCCCCCCCCCCTCTCGACCCTCGGGTCTCGGTGGCCCCCGCCGCCGTCCACGCGCCATGATACCCAGCGGCAGTAAGCCGAGCCTGGAACGGGCCCAACTTGTCGCCGATCAAATGGTGCTCCTGGCAGCAGATCGCCGCTGGCCTCAACCCCAAGGGCGGCTGCTCGGCCTCCAGTAACTCAGCCAGCGGCCCGTGAGAGGAAGAATTCACTGTAACCATCTGCAGCATCATGATAAGAATGAGGTACACGAAACTAGGCAGAGCAGCGCTGCTTCTTGGCGTAATTGGAGAGCGCCTCGCCTGCCCTCTTGACCGCCTCGCGCAGCTCCCCCTCATCTTCGGGCACCTGCACGTTGACGGACTGGAGGAAGGCCCGCAGCACCTCGGGGTCTCCGTCTGCATTTGGGATCCAAATCGGTGTGCCTGGTGCCGCAGAGCCAGGCGCGGCCGCGGGGGCAGCGGCGCCGCCGTGGCCCTGGCCCGCAGCCTGCTGCTGCGCCGCGGCTTCTGCAGCGCGTCGCTGCTGCTCGGCACGGTGCACCTTCTCAGCCGCCCGCACCTCCTCCAGACAGCTGTGGAACCTCGTCGCCAAGTCGCCAGACCCGCCGAAGGACGCGAGCAGCTCGCCCAGCATGGCCACTGAGATCTCCTCGGGCGCGACTGGCAGCACCTGCGCCAGCGAAGGCGTCTCTCCCGCCTGCGGGCGCGGCACCTGAGCCACCAGCTGGCGGCGCTCCTCCTCGAGCTCCAGGAGCTCCACGGCAAGGCGGTCCAGCACCGTGGACGCCTCGACGACTGCCGCCTCGGCCGTGCGCGCCTTGTCGCGCAGCGTGACGAGGTGTTCCTCCTGTTTGCCTTTGCGCTTCTCCAGCTTCTGGTGCTGAAAGGGGATATATTTGAGCCGCGTGCCCAAACTCTTGCCCGCCACGAGCTTCTTGCGCAGCTCGCGCTGGCTCACACGAAGCTTCTCGCGGGCCTCCACCAGCTCGGCACACGACGTCTGCTCCAACGCTGCGAAGTGTGAGCCCACGTCCGCCAACTCCCGCCTGAGGTCAGCGTCGGGCCCTCTGCCGGAGCCGATCTCGTCGACCTCCATGGCATCAGCCCCGCCGCCACCTGGTGTCTGCTGCTGGCCCTTGAGCTTAGCCAACTCGGCCCGCAGTTTCTTGATCTCCACCTCGTGGCCGCCCAAGGCACCTGCTGCACGGCTACTCGTGCTGGGCGCCTGGCCGACGACCTCCTTCGTCCCGCCGAAAGCGGCACCCTTGTGCTCCTTGCACAGCTGCCACCTGTCTTGGTCTGCACGATTCCACCACCGATCCCCCGTCGAATTGGACCAGCAGTGCTTGCAATACCACGGCTTCGCCCATGCAACCCTCTGCTTCTTGTGTCCACTCTGGACAGGGCGAGAAGCATCCTGCGTGGCAGGAGGCACCATGAGCCAGCCGTGGTGAAGGTCAGCGCGTGCAGGCGGGCACCTGCACGGCAAAAGACGCGCCGAGAATGTTGTGTAACGAAAGTGCCCTGACTGGTGCTGTCAGGGAAAGCTGCTGGGGCCCTGTGCCCCTAATGCCAGAAAGAGCTCTGTCCGCTGCTGACGCTTGGGCCACGCTACGGACTTGAGCCAAAATGGCTACGGACGTCAGTTCGGCGGCGAGCGAAGGGGGAAGTGAGAAAGAGAAAACTCTCTCGGAAGGCGGTGGGGTTTCTCAAAGCCCTCCGACCTTCTGAGTAATTGTTTGTCTTCGGTGATGGCCTGATAGAGTTCTCCGCAGGCTGCGGGGCTTCTGATCCTTCTGAAGAGGCCCCCCCCTTTTTGTCCCAGAGATGCGAACTACATAAACTTCAACTTCCGACGGTTGGCGCAGATTTCTCGGATCCGCGCTTGACCCCCCCTCCTCCCTAGCGCGCGGAGCGCGCCGGGGGCGACGCCGAAGGCGCCGCCTGCGGGCTCCAGCGCAAATCAAACAAAAAAATCGCGCGGACCGTCGAAACATTATGAATCTGCCGTTTTGTGTTTTTCGCTTCCCCTCCGGGCTGACAGCCGACCGCCGATGTTTGGCGGCGCGCACAAAAGGGATATGGGGAGGGAGGAAGGTTTCTCGAAGGAGACCGCTTCTTAGAAGGCGTCGGCCCTACATTTGTAGACAAGGCCCGTGGCTTCTAAGAAGCAGGGGTGCTGCTGAGAAGCCTTGCCCCTCCCCTTACACCCCTCTGCGCGTGGCCGACCTCCGCCGTCGTCGTCGCTGTCGCGTCGTCGTGGGCTGGCCTTGTGCAGAGGAACAAGAAACGACATGCACAGAAACTTGTTGGACTCCCCTCCCTGGCGCGCGGAGTGCGCCAGGGGCGGCGTCGCAGGCGCCGCCAGCGGGCTCCAACGCAGATCCAAGAAATCCGTGCGGACCGTAGACGGTGCATGTTCATGCCATTACTTCATCTTCGATGGTTGGTCCTGTCGGTGGGGTGGCGGGCCTGGCCGCTGCCCGATCTGCTCGTCTGCTGGTTTCGGCGCAGTTTGGGCGGTTGAAGCCGCCTTGCCTCTGCCAGGGCTCCAGGGCCTACCGCCCTGTCTACGGGGCTGGTTGGCCTCCGAGACGCCGCGCGCGGCGGGTGCCCTGCCGTTCTCTCGCTCGGCGTCAGGACGAAACGCGCGAAGAAAAACCCTCCTCCTTCTCCTCCTTCTACTCCTCCTCCTCGTCCTCCACATCCCCCCCCCACTCCTCCTCCCATCCTCTCCGTTTTTGTCCACCCTCCTACTCCGCGCCTTCCCCCCTCCCTCCCTCCCTCCCTCCCCTTTTCCTCCTTTTCCATTTCTTCCCTCCCCCCTTCCTGGACAGCCCCTTTTCCTTCTCCCCATTTCACTCCGCCTTTCCTGGACAGCCCTGTGGTCGGCGTAGTACCTGCCAGCGTCGTTGAGCGCGCACATGGTCAGCCCTGGAGGCCCAGCAACTGTGCTCGCGTTCGACGCGTGGACGGCCTGGGCAGTGATCTCGATCAGCTCGGCCTCTTTTTCCTGGATGTGTTGTGTTCATCTCTCTCTCTCTCTCTCTCTCTCCTTATGTTTCTATGTTTGTTGTTATCTATCTCTATATCTCTTTCTCTCTCTTCTTGTTTTGTATATATAACCATAATGTCTGTGTCGTTTATCTATCCATCTCTCTTTCACTCTCTTTATATATCTCTCTCCACCCCCTGTTATCGTTCACCGTGTCTACGCTGGCTTGAACTCTTGTTGTGTGTGTGCCCATGTCTGTGTATGGTTGTTGCTGTCGGTGTTGTTGTTGCTGTTGTTGTTATCGCGATGATGTTGTTTGTCCCTCTCCCTCGCTCTCCATGTATGTGTATACATATATATATACACACGTGTATATATACATATATATATATATGTAGTATGGTATCTATCTCTCTCCTCCCTGTCTTTCTACATGCTTATCGAGTCGACATACAATGTGTGCACTCATGGTTTCGCACTTTTGTTCTAAGGACGTGGGCCGTATCTTCGGCCTGGCGGCTAAGAGGCTGCCGTCGCCGCCCCGTCGCCGCCCGTCGCCTGGGCCGTGTCTTCGGTCGGCCGCTATGTCGTCGCCATTGCCACTCCGTCGCCGCCGTCGCCGCCGTTACATTGTACCAAATCGATTGCGTAGTGTTGCTGTGCGTTGTTTTGCTGAGGTTCGCGTTGCTTTGCATTGCTTCGCATTGCCATATATTGATACGCGTAGCAAATTATTGCCATATGTTGCGCCGCTGAGGTCGCACCATCAATATTGCACGGCATTGATTGCACAGCACACGCTTTCCGTTTATGATCATTTACAACAATATGAAGATCAACCTCCCCCCCGGAATTGGATGTTCACCTGTTTGTGTTGAAATTTACATACGATTCTGCCGGCTCGCCCATCCTAAACATGGATCCGTACCATCCCGAGCAGGCGTTGACCGATCCCCCATCATCATTTGCATAATTAGCATGCGCGCGCACTCTTTTTATCATACATCGGCCGTATCCATAAAACTTTGGCAGCACTCTTGGGGCGAAATGCGCAAGCGCGCGTCGTCGCGCGCGCACGCCCAAATCTTCCGAAGGTGTAAAACAATTTAGGTTGCACCAACAGATCAACATCTTCTGTCCCGAAAGCATATGAAACACAACTCGTATCGCCACAGAAAGTACCCAAAACAAATCAGCGCTCGCGCTCTCGCGAATGCTCAAGAAAACCAAGCGTTTGTCAATCTTTACAATCCGTGCGACCACACGTGCTTCTTGCGCGCGCATGTCAACATGATCCGAACGCTCTTGCTCACGTGTTGTGACAAGAGCCTCTCGCCAAAACACGGGGCGAAATGCACGCGCGCGCTGTCGCTCGCGAGTGTCTGGAAATATTCAAAGGTTTCGTCGGCATTTCAAAACCGAGTTCCCCGAAGCATGGAAAGAACACAGACACACACACACGCACACACACACGCACACACGCGGTTTTGCAACGCTACCTTCCAAAGGAAACTGCGCTCGTGCTCTTGCGACTTCGCACGAGCGCACACGTCAAAATCCTTACCGCAACATTCATCACCGACGCGGGGATGCCACCATTGCCGTCGGCGTGACCAGCATCGGCGCCGCGGTTGCCATTGCCGTCGTCATTGCAACCATCGCCACCAGCACCAATATGATCATCGCCGTGTCCGCCGTCGTCGGCGTCGCCATGATACCACGCCCGCCGACATCACCGACTCGCAGTGAATGTCCCGCGCGTCGGCGCGGACTGGGAGATGCGCCAGGGAATCACCGGCGGTCAGCGCCACCGCGGCCGCGTCGATCGCGTCAGATTTGCCGACAAGTTGGCGCGCGAGCGAGGGCGCCAGCGCGGCCGCGGCGACGCGCCAGCCGGCGCCGAGCAGTCACCGAAATCGCCGCCACATTGGTTTTGCACCCCCAATTTTGGGCGCGTGGGTGGGATGTATGCGCGAGGAATGTCGTCGGCAATTTCATATTCGGCAGCTTGAAGCGCGCCGCGTGAATGGTGCCGCGCACATTGCGCGACGTAAACTTCACATCGAACATCGCCTCACACAAATCCCACCATGTACGCTGCGCCGCGGAGGTCGTGCCGCATCGACTGCGCCATTGATGGGGCGCCGCTCCTGGCGCGCTACGCACGCGGCACCGCGTGGAAGGCGCGACGCAAAAATGTATGCACTTCGCATCGCAGATGGCAAAATCTGTAGTGCGCAACATGAATTGCACGACGTGCGTCTCGCAACGTACATTGCACAGCATATGTTGCACTACGAAAGCGGCAACGCATATATAGCACCACGCGGGTTGCAGCCCGTAAACCGTGCCACAGCCTGCGCGCTAGCCATTGCATGATCTAACTTGCGCCACGTAGAATGCGCGGCAGAGGTTGCGCCGCGAATATTGCGGACCATTGAGCACGCCGCGCGAATTGAATGTAGTCGGTCGCGCCGCGTAGATCGCACCACGTGCGCGGCGCCGCGTAAATGGCGCAGCGCCGGGCGCGCCGCCTAGATTGCGCCACCGAGGTCACAGCGCGCATGTATATTTATACACATGCGATCGGGGAAACTCGGGCAAACGCGACCTACATCTGAGAGAGAGCGTGATCCACCGCCGCTTTACTGTGGAAAATTGCCAACCTTTTCCTCCGGAGCCCGGCCCCCTCCCCCCCCCTCCGAAATTCCCCCCCCCCCCCCCCCCCCCCCCCGTCTCCCCGGCAAAGCCCCCCCCCCTCCCCTAACCCCCCCCCCCCCCTCCCCCTCGAAAACCGGGAGGGGTCACTACCGGTTCGAACCCCTCCCCCCCCCCCCTCCGGATCCGGAAAACCGGGGGGTCACTACCGGTTGGAACCCCCCCCCCCCCCCCTCGAAAACCGGAGGGGGGTCACTACCGGTTCGACCCCCCCCCGCGCACCGCCAGCAAACGACTCCCGGTCCCTACCACCGCTCGCATCACATCCCCCACTGTTGTTCCCAGCACCACTGTCCTCACCACCACTGTCCCCGCTGGTTCCACCACCGTCCCTATTGTCCCCACCAATGCCCCCACCACTGTCGCACTGTCCCCACTGTTCCCACAACTGTTCCCACCACGGTTCCACTCTCCCCACTGTCTCCACGGACCCAACCACTGCCTATCCCCACTGCCCCCACTGTCCCACTGACTCCTCCGCTGTCCCACTGAGCTGTCCCACTGTTTCCACCGCTGTCCCCACTGCCCCCACCACTGTCCCCACTGTACCTCTGTCCCATTGTCCCACCGCCGTCCTCGCCACCGCCTTTACCAGTGTCCCCACCACCATTGTACCCTCCACTGTCCCAGTGTTTCCACCTCATTCCCACTGTCCCCACACCACTGTCCCCACCACCACCGTTCCCACCACTGTCCACTATCCCCCCTGTTCCCACCATTATCCCCACCACTGTCCCCACCACTACCGTCCCCACCACTGTCCCACTGTCCCCCCACTGCCCCCACCACTGTCCCGCTGTCCCCTCGCCACTGTCCCCGCCAACACCGCCCCCGCCACTGTCCGCACCCCCACTCGGTTTTCGGGGGGGGGGGGGGTCGAACCGGCAGCGACCCCCCCCCCCCCGCCTTTTCATGATGAGCTGGGGGGGGGGGGGGGGTTCGAACCGGTAGCGACCGCCCCCCGGTTTTCTGGAGGGGGGGGGGTTCGAACCGGTAGTGACCCCCCCCGGTTTTCCGCCAGCAGCGGTAGAACACGCTCTTTCACATCTGAAGCACGCTACTGCGTTAGCGCGAACACACATATATATATATATGTATATATACACCACGAGGCGTTCTAATATTGGGAGGCTCTCAACAGGTCGAGCCGTATAAAGCCCCGCGCACGCGCGCCCTCTGACCTGCCCAAATCGGCGATCTGGGAATATGGGGCGAAGCATTCGATCCTATTACTTGCTGCGACCCACTAAAACGCTGCAGCTGCTGAATGCCAAAACCTTGCGCTGATAAAATTATGGGGATCAGCGGGCTCTCTCTAGAAGCAGGAATCCCGCTTGCGTTGCTCAGTGTGCGTTTCGGAAATATCAGAAACTTGCTTGGACGTCAGACACAAATATTCAATGTTTGTCGGGGGGATGGACATCGGCTCGTTCCCTCCGGAAGGGGGGCCCTGCAACTGGAGCGTTTGTCTCGTCAATAATCGCGCTTTCTAAACCGTTGCAGCATCGCATATGCCGCGCGCGCGCTGGAAACGTGACTGAGCTCACAAAACGCAGGCCCGCCCGTTGTCGCAGGGGACAGAATCTGCGCCAGCTTCCAACGTGACGAATTTAGGGCATGCCCTTTTGCAACATCAAACTAATGAGAGACTGCAGAAGTCCGATTAGTCCCCAATGAAGCTTGCCTACTGCGTTCTTACAAGGTTTAAGATTGGCGCCTCGGGCGCTTACTTCGCCCGTTGCTCGGGAATTCCCTGGGTTCCTCGGTTCCCCGCCCTCGGCGCCTCGGCGGCCGACTCTGCCCGTTCCCCGGAAGTTCCTCGGGCGCGTCGGCGCCCGCGCGCCCCTCGAACCCCCCCGCTTGGGAATGCCGAGAAATGCCGGGCAATGCCATGCAATGTCAACCAAGGCCAAGCAACGCCAAGCATCGCCAATTGATGACAAACAATGCGCCCCGCGAAGCGCTCATTCAACATCCTCCTACTTGGGGTCGCGCCAGCTTCTTTCTTTAAACAACAACGTAATGAACAACATGTGAGGATTTCGCCTCTATCCTCAAGTCGCAAATTCTACTTGTGTAAACTGTGTAAGCGACCGGCTAACATAATTCTCTGGACGCTTTAACCGACGTCGCGAATAGCAACAACATATCGCAATTGCGCACTGGAGCGGCTCATTCGTGGCTGCAGAATTCTATCGCATGTATTTGTTGTAGACTACAACTTTGAACGCACTCTGCATCTCGTTTGAGATTTGCTACTCCCGGTGATCTGGCATGTCTGCCGATTCGCGCGGCCTCGC